CCTCAGTGAGTTTAACGCAGCCTGTTGAAGCCCAGAGAGATGCTCATAAATACGTCATGTGAACACACAGACACACTCACACACACTTATGTAACTTCCTGTAAATGGAGAGGAGGGGAGGAGCAGCAGAAACTGTTCCACATTCAGGCTCCATGTTGGCTGTGCTGTACACGAGGTTACAGGGTTTCAGTCTGAATGAGATAGTTTATCGGCAGTCAGGCAGCAAACAGAGCAGCATTACTGGAAGATTTACAGCACAGAATTGTACTTGTTATGCTGTTTATTGTGTGTGTGTGTGTGTGTTGTTTAGTGGTGGGCAAGTGAAGCCTCATGAAGCACTGAGGCTTTCCTAACAATTGTGCCGAAAACGATTCAAAGCTTCAAGACTTCAGTGACGGTGACATCTGGTAGACACCTGAAGCCATAGCAGCCTCTAAAGAGCACGACTGAAGCACTGGCACTGTTTCAATCCCATGACAGCAATAAAAGTTCAGAAAAGTCTGTGTGGTCATTCAAGTGTTTTGTTCATTCATACCAAAAAATGATTATATTGTCATTACAATAAAATATGCAGATGCTCTCCCCCATACTGTAAAACACATTCCAGATTAACCCAAACAATCAATGCAAATTATATTAAGGGTTAAATGTTGGTTAAGGGTTAATTTCAAGCTTTGAGCTTTATTTAAATACTGTACTAAAAGCCCCTAACAGGATTAGAGATCCTTCCTACTTTGCAAATGATCATGGTGTTTGAATTCAGAAACATTGTATCTTTTTTGTGTGTGAAGTGTTTAAGGAAAACCTTTAAAGATAATGGTTTGTCATTTGGGGACTTGTATGGTTGATTTGGAATGATTATTCACAGAAGCAGACATACATAAAATGTATGCCATAAACTGCATTATACCTTATTGGGTGGAATGAGATCAAAATGATCCCAAACTTTAGAACGTCGCTTATTGGTGGTACTCGCCATGAACCTTGCCAAAATACTCTCACTCTCACTC